AATCATTGGCGTCTTAGAAATTGTTTTGCAAGGGGTGAAACGGGAAGAAATACAGAACTTTCTTATACCAAAATGCAATCTGCTTACAGAGGGCAGTCATGAAAATAGGCTACGTCATTGCATTGTGAGCGAAATGCTGAATCGAATGAAAGGCCTAGAAATGAACTGCACTTTCAAAGAAGTCCAGGAAACAAAAAGGTGCGTCCGGCTTTTAGAAATGATTGATATGTTAGAGTACATATTCTGTAATACACTGGCTGGGAAAAATCAGGGCGCTCTCTGGAATAAGATGTTTGTTAACATTGGAAACGTGCCTGGATCCCGCAGATTTGGCTGGTTTTGGAATCAGTTTGGCGATCTCAACACTACAGAGCTCGATGAAGATGCCTATGCGTATCTGATCCAAATATGGTCCTTGGTGGAAGCTGGCTTTAAGGAGTTACTGAGAACTCTCTCAGGAGAACTAAACTTGTTAGTCCAGAAGTTCTACATCAGGACCTGCGAAAAGAAAAGGAAATTCGAGATAGAGCATGCTCACCGTGGCTTGTCCGCTGAACATAACTCACAGAAGATTTCTCTCCACCAACTTACCCAAGAGATGATTGAGGATGTGGCTGAAAGCTACCTGGATGAGGATAATTCATCTTGGGCAAACCTGCATAAAGCAATTGCTGCCGACAGCAAGAATACATCAGAGGCTTTTCGTAACGTCAGGGATAAAATAGAGAAAGAAGGGAGCGAGAAAGGTTTTGATCTCTTTAAACAAACCATGAAGCAGTTTATTCGCATGATCCCTGAGCATGTCTTGATGACCCACATTGTTCACTACGTTGGAAAAATTGTTTTGCATGCGAAAGATACACTGACACGTAAACTTGATTACATCAAAATCCCAGAGTTAGATTTAGACTGAAATTTCACTGACTGTCGGAAGATTGGTCGGTAATTGGTCATAGGAGAGTGGCCAAGAGGGGCACAGAACAATATAAAGTTTGTTAATACGACTTTCAGTAACCCAGCGCTTAAAGCAGTAAACATGACCTTTTTGATTCTTATCAAAGCGAAATCTTTTTGCTATACGATAAGACTATTGTAGATAAGCCTATTGTATAATGGCCGAGCTTGTTTAGTCAAGATGACTGGATAAACGTCATTCTTCTTGCGGTTTTATGGATCTCGACCTAGTGATGGTCTATACAAAAAGGGGGAAAAAACTCGGACAATCCAGCCATCTTGACCTCCCGCTTGGTGAATAACACACATCCCTATGTAATCAACTTGTAATATAAACAAAGAAAAAGCACACCTGTTGCTAGAAATAATCTTAAGTGCTGATTATAGTGCTGCAGACATACTGACTGTATAATAAGATATTTTCTCTTGTGTTTGAATCATGTTATCGAAAACTGAAAATGATCAATGACAACAACCATTTATGTCACGTCACACGAGTGTTTATTAAGGAAGTTGATGTCAAGTGCAGTGTTTGTCATTCGTATCAATTCCGAGAAAAAGGGGATTTTTTATAATTGCCTTGAACCCGAAAAACAGAAAGAAATTTAATTCTTGAACCGTACCTTTAGCTACAAAACCAGTTTTTTGATCTCTTGTGTGAGAACATTTTAGAGGAAGAACAAGAGCGTCTAAAACAAGTTAACCGTCATGGCCAAGATTGTTGAAGACTTCGAGAGAGAAGCGAGATTTGTCGATAATGTTGAAGCCGAATTAATCCGAGAGAAGCTCGAAACATTGGTGATCAGTATTCTGACGAAAGTGGGGCAGCGAGACAAGCGGTTTGAAAGCACTCTTATCCAGAGCGGAAGTGTTTACGAAGGAGCAAAAGTTCGCCAACCAGATGAATTCGACTTTATTGTGAAACTTAACTCTCTCACGAACAGGCCATCCTTTCATCTGTGCGATAAAAGCGAAGATTAAGTTAAGCTCACACTGGAAGAAAACGAATGGAGGGAATTTCTAGATGAAGAAGGCTTCTTCAGCCCAAATCTGGTCTGTCGCCATTTTAGGAAACTCGTCAATGAATGTCTAAGCGAGACAGAAGTACCCATGGAACTTCAGATCCGTCGAGCTAGTCGAGAATTGTTGGGTGGATCGTGGGGACCAGTGTTTTCTGACATACTTGGTAGCAGTGGTTCCGAAGACAGTGCATCAGGAGTGATGTACTCTGAAACTCACGGCCCAGCCACAACACTTTACATTGATTGGCAAGTCGGCGAGAGATACAAGGATCTCATTGTTAGTGCAGATTTGACTCTTGCCGTAGACTACTCTTTATCCAGGCTCGCTGTTACAATGGGGAGCCTTCCGCAGGAAGCAGAAGCGATCGTTTATGAGTGCGGATTTGACGTGGTGCCTGTTGCCTTTGATATGTTGCGTATTTCGTTTTCCACGGCCGAGCGAAGAATGCTCACCTCTGCTCCAGATGGCTTTAAAACATGTTACCGAGTTCTGAAAACTCTCCGTGATGATATATCAAAGAAACTGGTGCTAGAATCATCCCTGGTGCCGTCGTATATTTTTAAAACAGTCCTCTTGTCGGAGTTGTTTTGTACGCCGACCCATTTCTGGGAAAAGGACGTTTTGTCACAAATAATCATTGGCGTCTTAGAAATTGTTTTGCAAGGGGTGAAACGGGAAGAAATACAGAACTTTCTTATACCAAAATGCAATCTGCTTACAGAGGGCAGTCATGAAAATAGGCTACGTCATTGCATTGTGAGCGAGATGCTGAATCGAATGAAAGGCCTAGAAATGAACTGCACTTTCAAAGAAGTCCAGGAAACAAAAAGGTGCGTCCGGCTTTTAGAAATGATTGATATATTAGAGAACATATTCTGTACTACACTGGCTGGGAAAAATCAGGGCGCTCTCTGGAATAAGATGTTTGTTAACATTGGAAACGTGCCTGGGTCCCGCAGATTTGGCTGGTTTTGGAATCAGTTTACCGATCTCAACACTACAGAGCTCGATGAAGATGCCTATGCGTATCTGATCCAAATATGGTCCTTCGTGGAAGCTGGCTTAAAGGAGTTACTGAGAACTCTCTCAGGAGAACTAAACTTGTTAGTGCGGAAGTTCTACATCAGGACCTGCGAAAAGAAAAGAAAATTCGAGATTGAGCATGCTCACCGTGGCTTGTCCGCTGAACATAACTCACAGAAGATTTCTCTCCACCAACTTACCCAAGAGATGTTTGAGGATGTGGCTGAAAGCTACCTGGATGAGGATAATTCATCTTGGGCAAACCTGCATAAAGCAATCGCTCCCGACAGCAAGAATGCAGTGGAGGCTTTTCGTAACGTCAGAGATAAAACAGAGAAAGAAGGGAGCGAGAAAGGTTTTGATCTCTTTAAACAAACCATGAAGCAGTTTATTGGCACGATCCCCAAGAATGTCTTGATGACCCTCATTGTTGACTACGTTGGAAAAATTGTTTTGCATGAGAAAGATACACTGACACTTAAACTTGATTACATCAAGATCCCAGAGTTAGATTTAGACTTAAATTTTATTAACTTTCGGAAGATTGGTCTAACCATGGTGCAGTCAGGGATCTTGCTTTAAAATCTAATTTTAAAATCTGAATTTGTCACTTTTTGAAACTGCGTTGTTAGTTGGTACGAACAAGTCAACGGTTTAGTCAGACAAATTGGGAAACGTTGTAGCAAAGAACACGGTTAAAATTTTGTATAATTTGTTAAAAATGGTACCCTTCTGTCACTACAAGGAATAAAGAAAATGTTCTTCTAGACATGGATTGTCATTCTTGAGGTGGTTCTTCTATGGCTGTAGGATATATGAATGTACGTTTAAGTCGTCCGGGCTATGCCAAAATTCCTCTGCATTTTTTGCTCATCGTCACCAAGCGCTGGCTTTGACTTCTGACGGAGATACCCAATGCACACTTTCCTAGGGTAAGCGCGCAGTTCCAGGGACAATCGCAAAATCTGGGTAGACTGTGCGCACTTACTCTAGCAGCGCTTTCTTCACATGCTCGTATTGTACACTAAAACGCTGACGACGAAAGGAATGAAGCGCAATACAGTAGAGGTGTGGCAGAGGTGGTTAGGGCAGGGTGGGTTGGTGCATCAGTGCCCGGATTCTGAGCATAATTAGTTGTCGTCCAGGCTCCAGTTGTTCAAAGAGCGGATAACGCTATCCATCGGATAAATCGCTATTCAGCGGATAAGTGTTACCAAAACGTACTGTGCTATCCACCGGATAGAGATTTATCCACTGTATAGCGTTATCCATCCTTTGAACAACCGGGGCCTGTTCTTCGAAAAGGATCTTAGTGTCTCTCACACTGCTGTTAACCTGTAACTCCCAGAAGTGATTGACATGTAATTTCTCCCTACAATATCCCTACATTATCCAGCACAGGTAGTGAAAATACTCTAATTTATCAAGTAGTTGTTACTTTGATTGAACACCAAATTCTCATAACAAACTTACAAGGAGATGTGGAGCAGCTATAGGAAGAATTAACTATCAGATCTTGCGAGTTAAAGGGGGTTAACAGTGTCATGGATATATGACATCAGATTCTCTGATAGAACCAATTCACGAGGCAGTAGAATTAACAATTATTCCACGAGCGCGCGTTGGATATGAGATGATAGATAGCCAACGGGGCGCGTAGCGCCGAGTTGGCTATAATCATCTCATATCCAACAAGTGCGAGTGGAATAATTGTTTTATTAAAAACGCCCCCAAGAAATTATTATTTCTTAATAAGAAACTGGATTTTTTAGCTCCGTTTTGATTTTAAGCTGACGCGTACGCTTACCATATTTGTAGATTATAGTATATTGGCTCATATACCATAATGGCTAAGCCAATAAAAAGTCTTGAATTGCATTATCCAATGATCCAGTTTTTAATAAGAAGAATTATTAACTTGAAGTCGACGGCTTTGAGGGCGAAACAAACTGAACAGCTTTGTTAGGGTCAGGCCATGAAGAAAAGAGACAACATCAAATTCCCTTGCATTTTGTTCAAACACAGAATATCCTCTGTCCTTCTTGGTCAATTATCTGTCAGGGATCTACAAAAGCTAGTTTCCCCACAGAAACTTGGAGTGTTTTAAGGGGATAAACACCCAACCCAAATGTGAACGTGAGAGAGCTGGAATAACTGTACAGGGGAAGTGAGTGGGTACGAGGCAGATAAAGCCTGGGTTGTAGAGTTGTTGATAACGATATGTTTTTAATTGTATTGTCAAAATCTCACTTTTACCGGCAGAACAATTCAGTCCTCCAGGATGTCAATCAAGGAAACATGGCTGTTGTTGGAATAATTTACGTGCCAGAGGGCCAAACGGACAAGGATGCCCTAGTAAGTAACAACTTGGACCTTTTCTGCCCAAAATCTCAGAGCAATTATCTACGCTGTCTAACTACATTCCTTTTACTTTGAACCTTGAGAGTTTGGTGATAAATAAAACAATATCCCGTAGTTGATCTGTTTCTGTTTTTTTTGTTTTTGTGTTTTATCCTCATCACCTCTCTACTAAACATTGTGTTTAACCCTTTCCACCCTAACATCAGTTTGCAGATTCTCCATACTGTTCTCTATAAATTTCCAAAGGTGCTGACAAGGAGAATTTGTTTAACAATCAAGAGCTTCTATAGTTGTTGATCATTTCCATTATTCTAATAACCTTAATGTCTGATTCAGGGATGATTGTGTACGGAGAAATTAAACACTAGTCACTCTTAGGGTTAAATTGGGAGGAGAAATTCCTCTTTTCCTATTCCTGAGAGTAAAGGGGTTAGAAATAAATAAGTAAAAATCAATAGATTATTCTTCTTGACAGAATATCATCAGCATATGCAACAGTTTGCAAGAAAACAATTGTATTCAGTGCTTTTCCCAGAACCATAATGACACACAACTCCCTTTACCCCATGGTCCCTTTGTCCACCTACTGGAAGTTAAATCATTAAACCTGTTGCTTGAAAACCCCTTCAGCTATTTTCTCTTTTGTCACGCACCATATTTGACTTATCACTTTAGAAAAGCTTTTGAGCTGGAAAGAAAAACATGCTCTCAAATGCTAAATGTTTTTTGATACTTCTCTCCTCAACTCCACTCACAATATACTTGTTTCTTGATTATCTTAGTCTGTGAGGACTCTTATGGACGCTTGTGCAAACTTTTTGACTACTTATGCTCCCAAAAGGGAACCAGTGGAAAGTTCATTCGATATCACTGCTTCCAAACGTGTGGATGGTGTGAAAAGTAAGTCATTTATGTTCATCAATGCTGTACTTTTGTCTTATTACAACTGCCAGTCTGTATACCTGAAAAAATAAAAAACAAACAACAAATTACTTTAAGTTGTTAGAGGCAGTATCATGACTTGTGTAATCTAGTTTTAAATGTTTCAAGGGTGTGCACTAAGAAAAATTGAAGGGAGCCCAGTACTCTGAAACTGTAAAATCCAGGGTGCCCAGTATATGCTTTTTATAAAAAAATTAAGATTCCTGAGTCATGAACCCAAGAACAAAAGAAAGGCACCGGGGGCCACTGGGTGCTGCTAGACCACAGCCCTTATGTTTATTCAAATTAGGACAGAAAGTTAACTCAAAGTTTAATTCAGTGAAGCTAACTGAAGCTGATTGTTCCTGACCAAAATATATATATCTTATTAACCAAGCGCGAGTGCTGTACCGGGAGAATATCGGCCCAAGGTCTTGACAGTATGGACTTCACTGCGCTGGGTCCGTACAAAAAAGACCGAGGGCCGATATTCTTCCAGTACGGTCCCGAGCAAGCTTGGCTAATAAGAGATTTATTATACGACTGAAGTTCAGAGGGACACAAGTGTGGTATCATTCTGGACCATTAGGGACAGTGCCCAGTCCAATACTGAGAGAATATTGACCAGCAATAAAGCATTTTAATTGGCTGATTTTAGTTATTGGCCCTCTGACTGCCCGAGTCGTGTAATATCAATAACTTTCTGGTTAACATTAGTCTTGTATGAGTGGTGCTCGCAAGACCGGTTTGAGTGAAATCACAAACACTTCCATGAAACCCCTCCAAACACCTCTCCCTGAAGCCCTTCTTTTGTCTCTTTGTTTCATGATATAGAATCAACACTTACAATTTCAGATTGCAACAATTGAATTACTATTCTACTGCTCTTCATCATGTAAAGCTATACTGCTCTACAGCTATACAAATAGACTGTCATTACCAAAACTAACAGTATAGAAGTTGAAATACAGTTCGCTACAGTATTATTGGTAGTGACTTTACCATAAGAAAAATTAATTCACTGAAGACTTGCACTAAAGCTCACATGTTTTCATCTCTGTAGGTTTGCTTAGCTCAGAACTGAAGCATCAACTGGTACCCCATAGTCTACAAAAGTCCTCTGTAACAACCAACTATTAACAGTCTCTTGGTACGAAACCTTTGACATACTGTGGACACAGACATGATGAAAAAACTGTCCATTATGAGGACTTCTGCACAATTCACCAAAACCATGTTAGCCACCCACAATGATTGGAAATATCACTGTGTATGTTTAGAGAAAAGGCTCAGAGCACAAACTCTGCACAAAAGTGATATCAAAGAGAGACACTTGCACAAATAATTTGTGTTCCACAAGTTAGCTACACATTGTGAAGGTCATGAGAAATCTGAGTTTGTAGCTTTTTGGTGATTATATCAACCTGTATCTACAAAAATATTTGAGTAAGGGTATAAACTGCCTTCTGGGCCCACTCACTTTTTAGGCATCAGGCTAAATGAAGCCATACAGATGTTTCTCACATGAAAAAGTCATCATTTGCCTGTATTTTATGGGCTGATTTGAGCCTTGTTTTCAAGATATATGTAAGTTCTGTTTCCCCATAATATTTCTTCTTAGTCTAAGACAGTGACTATTTAGAGAAAAAGTCACTAAATAATTTATGTGCACCTTTTTTTCTGCCAAGACTGTTTTCTGAATCAATTGCTTTTTTAATAAGCCTCTCTCATAAATAGCAGGCTTTATTAGTATTCTTCAAAATTCATGTAAATTACCCTTACCAGCCTCATCCACAAGACATTTTTGCTAAAAGGCCAGGCTGAGAAGACCTGTTGCATGGGCACGAAAGAGTGATAATCATGCCTGCCATAATAAAAGATGTTTCTTTGTCCAATAACAGCCCATAAAGCATTCGGGGCCATAAATCAATATCAAGAAGAAACTTAGGACCTATGTAAATGTAGGAACCAAAGGACCATTCATGTTCACTCAAACATGCAGAAAAAAGGGCATATTGTAAAATACAGCCAGTTCAATTGACCTATACCATCCAAGAGGCACAGCAGAATGTTTGGAATAAAGTAAAACTTAACTTCGTGTAATGGTGTCTTTGTGATATTATAATTTTGATTTTCACTTTCCCAAGTAATGCAATGATTGCTGTAAGTACCAAGGTGGTTAAAAATCTCCCTTTCTTAATTACATGCAAATAGATCCTTTATAAAACTGCAACAATCTGTAACACTAGTTTCGCGTAAACAAAGTTCTCACTTTTTGGTCACTCCCAAAAGGAAGTTAATCTATTAATGCGATAGCTCCAAAATACAAATTTGACCTTTACCTCAATCACAACCACAACTGCCAGTTTCTTGTTTCCCTTGCAATTTCCTAAGAAAGACAGTTAATTTTGTTATCACTGGGTGAAAATGAACTTACAGTTCTGTTGCTTTCAGGTAATAAAGCATTGAGGTTTTGATCTCAAATGAAAAATATTCTACCTATGGGTTACTTCTCAATTTCCTTTGTGTCCAATCCCTCATGGTGTAATATCAGCCTTAGGATATTAAGGAAATTGATAGTTTACCAAGGCAAAATTTTTTCCTAAGATCATAGTCTACATTCAACAATGAATTCTAAGGTTGAATGCAAGTAAATACTGATTAGGACAATGGGAACAAATTCTGAAGTGAGGGGGCTTGAAACTCATACTTACTATGGTAATTTATCTTGGTAGGGGGGGGGGGAGAGTTCTAAGGGCATTCCCCTCTGGAGGACTATTAAAACTACTTATCAATTATTCCCCAAGGGCAGGTTAGATATGAGATGATAGATAGCCGACGAGGCGCATAGCGCCAAGTAGGCTATAACCATCTCATATCCAACAAGTGCATGTGGAATAATTGTTTTATTAAAAAAAAAGCCCCCAAGATCTTAGACAAATCTTCTCGACTTTATTTTGTAAGAAACCAGATATTACAATTTATAGATATTAGATTATGGTATATTGGCTCATATATATCATAATGGCTAAGTCAATATAAATTCTTGAATTGCATTATCCAATGATCCAGTCTTTAATAATTAACAATAT